AAAAGGACGAGTGCCAAGCAAAGGACAACCAAGGTGATAGGGTCGAGCATGCAAGGATCTACGAAGATAAAGAGTTCGAGCAAGTGCGAGGAAACGAGCGGCAATTGGGGAAGCCTCGTGGGTCGAGGAGTAGCGCGCGACCAAGCACGCAGATGAGTACGCGGGTTGGACGCGCGATCACACGAGCTGGCCGAGACGACTTGGCGCGCGATAGCGCGCAAGTGCCGCACAAGCGCGGGACGCCTAAACCGCACAGGCGTAGGAGTGTTGGGCGGACGAGTGAGGCGGCCGAATTACATGGGAGCAAGGATTTGGAATTGTTTGGAGTGCAAGCCAAGCAAGATCAAGATCTAGTCAATTTAGGACTTTGATATATTTAGTTTCTTTCTTGCACAATAGTATTGTTGATAAACGGATTTGATCAACTTTTTATATTTGAATTTTTAGATTAATACCGTAATGAGACGATTTTATTGAATAACTGGAGAGTATCTAAGAAAATATCAAGTCGGTTTTTCAAGGACTTGAGGTCGGTTTTTTATAGTACAATGATGTTAAAACTGGCGAGAGCCGAGGTGATTAATGCGGAATTTATGTGTCCGAAAAAAGATCCTCGTATTGCCTTTATTGCTGCTATTTATAGTAACTGGGGGCTCTTCTTTTGAGGAGATTCGGCGGCATTTAATGCGGAATGACGTTTGCGCAGCCTTTTTGTCAGTGGGCCCCCTTCACGCAATGATGTCTCCACATGGGCCTTAAGCAGTCGATGGACAAGAATTAAATGCCGCCTGTCGGCTCCGACGTCGGCCTGCGCCCGAGGTTATTTCGTTCTAGAGGTCGGCTCCCAGACAAGGTCGGCTTTCGCAGGTCGGGTAGCATTTTCTCTGCACTCCTCGGCCATGCCTCTTTACTTTCTCGTCGTCCACGTGTCGTCCATCCAATGCTTGAGTGAATTTTTAGGTCAACAAGTATCTAAAATAATAGGTTAGTTAATATTTAATTACTTTAATTAGAGATTTAGTAGATTTAGGATTTATTTACTGCACAGTTTAGGAGATCTAGTTAGATTTGGTTTTCTCCTATAAATACCCATGTACCCTATGTTATTTATCATCATC